AATATTATATGACATTGACCTCTGCCTATACACACCACACCACTTTGCAGGATGCATGCCCTTTCAGCCAGCAGTTCCCCCAAACTATCTATCTGAATCCTCCTGTCCATTTGCTTTGCATTCAAGAGAAAAAAAAAACACAGTAGATAGTGATTATCCAATCCCATATAGATAGCTGTATTCACAAACTTCCCAGCTGAGAGCTCCCTCTCTCTCTCTTTACCATTTTCTGTTTGTCGCTTCTCTCTCTCTCTCTCTCTCACTTACTTACTCTGCCTCTTCTAACCCAGAGAGATGAAATGTCAAAATCCAACTCCTCCTATTTGTCAAGTCTCAATCACATTAGATTCTCTCTCTCCTGTTTCCTCAATGCTGGTTTTTCCCTCCTTTTATTTTCCTGGCTTCATTTCAATCAAATTGGACAGCTACAAGGAGGGTGACTGGCTAATTCTGCTTCTGAATTCTGATGCAATGCGATAGGAGAGAAACAGCTAGCTAGCTAGCTGCTCCAATTTCTTTTTAATCCAAAATAGAACGAGGTGCAAAATGAAATGGTGACAAACTTATGTAGTAAGAAAGTAAAACACATTACTAATCAAGATGGTTGTCACGCTGGTAGAACTCTCTCATGTTCAATTAACAATGGTCGGTCATGAAACTGACAAGAATATAATCGGTATGATCAATTTTCGGCCTATACACAAACTAATGCTGTTGTAGTAAATTTAATTAATGAATAAAAGAGAAATATTTATTTTATTTGCTGGATTTAAGTGTAAAGTTTGGGTGTTGAAGTTAAATGTTTTATTTAAATATGAGTATTTATTATTTTATTTAGAATGTTGTATTCTATTTAAATATGAATATAGATTATAACTTTATAAGTAATTGTTTTCAAATATATTTTGTGTATGCTTGAATTCATTTCATGTTAATGGTTTTTCCATATTATTCCATATATTTTATTAAATCAAGTTGTACCAGCAGTCGAACCATACTACTTGCTAAACTGTCACAACAGTATAGACCGGCTTGACCACATTTCTAATGAATCAGAGATAGATACATCCTCATCTCTGAGTTGGGACAGACATTTTCTCCCCCCGTGCCCAACAAAAAATTTAGACTACCCTTGCGGTCGTTGGATCACCCTTGCATGTCGTTGGATTAACATGTGTTTATAGTATAGATTTAAATAAAATAAGCCATAATATTCTATTCGACATCTGATAATTGACGATCGAACAATGTCAAATTGCGCTAATTACTCTGGAATCAAACTATCTTACCCCAATATATTCTCTACCCATATGAATTGATGAATGTTTCAAAATATCCCAACCCTAGTTAGTACTTAGTACTTCCCAAAGGAGAAGAAAAGGGTGTATAATTGAATTGAGGTAGTACCAAAATGGTTGTGGGTGGGAGTTGGGGGGCAGGTTTTTCTTTGATGAAGCAGATAAGAGGACATAATATTATTGTTCTGTTACTTACAGCCCAGCCCTGCTCTCTCTGTCTTTCAATACACAACACAACTGGAAGAAACCCCATTTACATGCAAAGTCATTGCTTCCCCATCTTACATTGGCATTAATGGAAGGAAGAAGGGTAGGGTAAGAAAGAAGGATGTTTCTCTTTATGGTATTATGGGCTTTTAAGACCAAACCGATTTTGACCCGCGGGCTGAGAATGTTGCTGAAAATGGCCTCAGCCAGCCAGCCCCAATCCCTATCAACAAAACTTGTCATCTTCTTCCTTCCTTTTCTCAACTTTTCAGTTGGGTGAGAGCACTCCCTTTTGTCCAGTGGGTAAAACAGTGACCAGAATTAAAGAAGAAACCCAAAACCAAACCAGTCCTGTCCAATTTACCCGTTCCTTCTCCAAACTTGGGGAATAGATATTTCAGCAGAGCCACCATTTGTGGATATATGGTGAGCTCATGCAAGCAAATTGACTCCCAACCCAGAAAGAAGAGAAGAGAAGAGTGGCCACCATCTCACTTTCAGGCTCGCGTCATCAAAATGTGACAAAAGAGTGTAAAAGCAAAGCCCATGAGAGAGTAATTATTATGAGTTACAAAGAATGTACATAGATAGATCACAGGATCTAGTCCCATAGATCCGATCATTAAATGAAAGACTCTGACGACTGATGGTGATTTTGGGGAGAGGGTCACCATTTAACTATCCATCCATCCATCCATCCATCCATCCATCTAATCTATCTATCTATCTGTATGATCCCATAAGCCTACCATGGTCAAACAATGATCCTACTAATATAAAGGTCAGCTCAGGCTCAGCTATTTTCTTGAAGAAGATGATGATATGAATATCTCAAAAGTAAGTAAAGACAGAGGTGGTGATGGGACTCGGTAGGGAAGATGGTCTGCCTCTGTTTCTTGCTCCGAGCTCTGCTGTAGTTGACGGCTATAGTGTTGGGGATTTTGTCTGTGGCATGATTTCTGCAGCTTCACGCCTACTTGAATGTCCAATCATACAGCAGAGCAGCAAAGAACTGCTGCTGATACAATTGCAATTTGCAAACAAACACCCCATAACTTAGCCGCATGCTACCCGCCTAAGATTTGGTAGCCGCCCGCCCACCGCCAGGATTTTGGGGCAGCCTAAGCCAAAGGTGTTTGTTATAGTAACTACTTGCTAGCCCTTCTAGTCCCACTGCAACTTGGGTGAGGTAATAACCCTAGCTTTTGGATTGAGATGCAAAAGTCCAAACGCCTACTACTACTACTAGCCAAAGCTCCTGCCCTTCTCTCATACTTTATCCAATAGTGTATATCCATCTTTCGGGGTCGTTTGGATGAAATTTGCGACGCTGTTCGAAAGGTGATATCTATCTTCCGGATCGTTTAGATGGTAACCCATGTTCTAAATGTAGGACTTAATATGCAACATTTATATGATAATGGTTTCCATGCTTCTTATTACCTTAAGTTTTGTTTTAAAAGCTCGTAACATTTCATCATCAAAATTTCCGGTCTTTCGCGATAGAAATGTCTAAATTTTGACATTGGCCGAGAACCAAATTATATTATTTTGGAAAAGTAGTATTTTACTTATTTCAAAACGTATTTTTTTTACTCTTTGTAACAATAGCACAGGTTCAACCAAGAGATATTTGCTGCAGAGCAGCATTCTAAGGGGAAATAGACGCAAAGTGAAATCCTGTCTAGTGGTTCCCATTTGGTTGGTTATCTGACTTCAGCTCGATTGTCAATCAAAACGCCATGAAGAAGAAAGGAGTAACAGAACAGAAGCCACCCATTAACCCCATTGCATCTTCTTGGAAGCTAACGTTGCAACAGAGCAGAGCAGAGAGAGAGAGAGAGAGAGTAACTAAGCCACTGACTGACATCTTCCTTTCCTTATTCATGCTTGGAATCTAGCAAAGAGGGTTCCCCCCACTCTGAACCCTTTCACCAAAAATACCAACCAACAGACACGTTGGCTTGTAAAAATACTGTTATAACCCCCACTTCATCACAAATCTTACAGCAGCAACAGCTAGAACTAGAAGACTTCTCTTCTTCACCAGCCCCATCCATATCTATCTGATCTAGTGACGATCTTGTGTATGTCTACTCTATTGAATTGTCTTACATCTATGGCAGAGGGCACAGGTAGCATTGATTCAATTTCAAAAGCAAAAGAAGAAGCAAAAAATACTGAGTCATCTCATACCAGCAGAGAAAGAGAGAGCAGTACTGCAGAGAGGAGGACACTTCAGTAAAAAAGATGCTTACAAAGTCTAAACATTTGAGAATATAGGAGGAGGACAAGTCACCTACAATGCAAGACAAGCATTTAGATGTATGTATGTATGTGAATTCAAAATGATCTTTACTGGACTCTCTGCAAATAGCAGTGACTGAGGGTAAATAGTACATTGCTGCTGCTGCAGCTGTAAACTCTTTCTCACTTTGGTGTCTGTAGGGTGGGACTGGGTGGGCCAAAATATGAAGGAAACGTTGATATTGGGACAGATGGGTGGTGGTTGATGAAAGCACAACCAATGGGCGGGCCTAAGTCCAGGCATCCCAAACCCAATATAATATACGGAAAGCCCATTGAATTAGCAATCACGTTGATCTTATGTGGTATAGGCACCCCGACACTTCTTGGCCTTTGCCTACCGCTACATAAAACTTTGAGAATGAGAAGGCAACTGGCGCAGGGCCAACTCAGAGTCGGGAACGCAAAATAAAGAAGCTCAAAAACTTGGACTTCATTTGGTGTTTGCCATTGTTAGAATATGCATTCTATTACTACTTGTATAATTCTATAATAATTGATGCATTCTATAAATGTCTGCATTTGAACATTAACTATATTTTGATAACTGTGATTGCAATGTTAGGATGGGAAAGTTACTTTTTGAATAAAGAGTCATGTTAACCTTCCTTTTACCTATAAAAGCTTGGGGTGTATGTGGGTCGGTGGATCGATTATAGATCTTTATAGTCATCCGACCCATACTTGGAAAAAACGATACATTCTATACAATACATGCATTCATTCAATACATCATTTAGAAAAGGATATACCAAACTGCCACTTAGGGGATGCATTGAAATATACAGTCAATTGACCCTGTCTTCCCTTATTACCATAGGTGGATTAACGACATTTAGGCACTCGACGAGAGTTACAGGTCTCTCTCTGATCATACTACCATTTACATCCAAAGTTATCCAGTAAAATATACGCTTAGAGCACAGGGTTGAAGGTGCACAGGGCTTTGATGATGGAATCAAACATTTGGAATGACAGTTATGCATGGGACATTACATACAGACAACAAGGTCTAAGGTGTAGCAATGGCATCAAAGAGCGTTCAATAAATTATCATTAACATTATAGGTGTCTTGGGTAGGGTTTATCAAGTACCTGCTACAGAAGGTTCCCAGAATATGAGCTTCAATGTAATCCATATCGAAACATGAGAGAGGATGGAGCCGATGTACAAAACTAGCTATTGGTTTACCACCTTCGTACTAACGATGTGAGCAACTGCAACATTTTATAAACTGATGTCAGAGAGCTGTTCTTCAAGAAGTGTACAAGACATGCGAAATTGTAAGCTCTCAGTGATTAGATGACTGTGGAAGCTCGCTCACACAAGAGAATAAGTTCTTTCTAGAAGTAATGAATGCATATGTAAAACAGAGAGGTAATAAAGTGACAATCATATAAAGACAAGTCCAATTGCTTCTTAGTAAACTAGACAGGGAATCCGCAGGAAAGGATGTTTGTAACTCCTAAAACTTTGAATATGAAACTAACAGATGTATGATAATCAATGGTTCCCATAAGCCAAAATAAACTGACAAATGCAAGGCAGCAACATAATTCATCACTAACGAAAAACGTTAAGGTGAAAAGGCTTCCAATCTTTCTTCTCAAAGTTACACATTAGGCGAACCCAAATCAAATTATCTAGAATGCAATGAAATCCAAATACCTCAAACAATTCAAAGGGGTTGCCGCGTCGGTACACATCATCCTTCTTACTGTCCTTCTTAGGAAGAATGCTGGATGCCAGTGCTCTCCATCCAGTTAGCAAAACACCAGTGCTTCCCATTGTCACTAACATAAAGGCAGTGGCTGGAACATGCCCTGATGCTGCAGTTCTTATGACTATCCCCAACTGCCAAAAGGAAGCACTTGCAGTCAGTAGACATACCCTTCTAAACAATGCATTTAACAGGAGCCTCTAAGGTTTAACATGAGCAAAAACAAAAAACAATAGAGCAAGTCCCAATCTTCTTGGAACTTCATTTTGCCCGAAACCAATTCAAAGCCAAATTGAAACTTACGGGAATCCCCACAGCCCAAGACTTGGCAGCTGCAACAACAGCTTTAGAAGTACCATTCATTCCACGGCCATCTTCACCATAGCCCCCAAGAAAGTAAGCACCAAGAAACCACCCTGCCCAACATACCCACTAATTATAGCAAACTGAACGCAAGAAACAAAAGGAAAGCACTCACATTCATCTATCCTTCCATTAAAAACATACACAATCTTATTACCAGCAACAAAAGGATCGGCAGTTCTCAATGTCTCCATGTCAAATACAGGGAAACCATGGCTGAATCTTCCAATTGCAGAGAAAATTAGCAACGACACCACATCCCCTCCAGCAAGCAGAGCAACCCGACTGGTCAGCACAGCAGAACAGAAGTTGGAACCCGACTAACCACTTATTAAAAACTTGTAGGGAAAGAAAAGGTCAAAATTCTCACCCCCATTTCTCAATTCGCGAAGTAGAAGCAGAGCTAGGCTTCTCGAACTGGATAACGCCTTCCAGAGGGACATTTTGTTGACCGACGAAAACAGTATCAGTGCTCCCTAGCGCCGCCGGAGGAGGAGAAGGACGGGGTGTTGGCTCTTCGATGACGGGCGGTGTGGTTGCTGAAGTGGTGGCGTCAATTCCTCCGCCCTCAGCCTTGGAGAGGGTTAGGCATAGGCGTCGCCGGTGGTGGTCGGAGAGGGAATTCCGGCTGGGCTGGGCGAATTGAGGAAACAATGGCGGTTTACGGAGGGTGAATTGTATGGAGGAGGTGGTGGCACATCTTCTGGTTGAGAGAGCTCCGCCGGGAGCTTGGCTTAGCACCATCATTTCACCTCGTTGGTTTCCCCTTTTCGAAGAGATCAAGAGATTGTGCAGTTGTGGCTCTTTGTTCGCTGCCCACGCGGGCTTTGTGTTGTTTCCGAGGCAACAGCTCACTGCTTCATCGGCCCAAAGGGCCTGCCCTCTTCCAATTTCTGGGCAAAATAATATAAGTCTACAAACCAATATCTTAAGTTCTTGTATCGTGGGCGGCTAAGGAAACTTTGATTAAATCCATAGCGTTGGCGCTTCCGCTTCATGTCATGTCTTGTTTCCGGCTTCCCCTGGCGCTTTGTCGTCTGTTAGATAAGCATGTGGCCCGTTTTTGGTGGGGTGCGGAGGATGGTACTCCCAAGCTTAGATGGGTGTCCTGGCGTAATATGTGCAGGAGTAAGCATGATGGGGGATGGGATTTCATCAGTTTGAGCATTTCAACCAAGCTCTTTTGGCTAAGATAGGCTGGCGTATTCTCAATGAACCCGATTCTCTTATTGCCCAGATCTATAAGGGCAAGTATTTCCCGCAAGGGTCTTTCTTGACCGCGACTGCTAGGTCTCGTCCCTCTTGGGGGTGGCAGAGTATCCTTTATGGGCGCCAGTTGCTGGAGAGAGGGTTAAGATGGCAGGTTGGTAATGGCCAATCGATCTCCCTCCTTCATTCCAGCTGGATTCCAAAGTGCCAACTGGATCCTCCTTGCTATAATCCACGGATCTTACCGGAAGGGGGTGATCCATTAGTAGCGGAGGTTATTGGTGAGGGGGGAGGGAGGTGGTCTGATGAGAAGGTCAGTCAATGGTTTGATCCACCCACCTGTAAGGCTATTAAAACTATTCCTCTCCCGCGTTGGGATGTACCTGACAAGCTTATATGGCATTTTACGGCCGATGGGGTCTTCTCTGTTAAATCGGCTTACCATTTGGCGGTTGATTTGGATAGAAGGAGGGGTGGGTGGCGATCCTCGGCTAGCTGGATGGATAAGCCGAGTTGGATTCGAGTTTGGGAGGCGAAGATCCCTCCGAAGTTGAAGGTTTTTGTTTGGCAAATTCTGACTCGGGCTCTGCCGACTATGGAGGCGCTCATTGAGAAGAAGGTCGAGGTGTTTTCTCGGTGTCCGGTTTGTTGGGATGGCCCGGAGACGATGGAGCACCTGTTTCTCTACTGTCCGATTGCGCGAGCTCTCTGGGATTATTCTGGTCTGGAATACTTGGGGGAGGGTTTGCCTCGGCACACTTTTCCTTTGTTTCTCAAACGTCTTTTGGGCTTGATTAGTCAGCCGTCACTGGTGATGGCGGTGGTTGCCGTCCTTTGGAGGATCTGGCGGTCTCGGAATTGGGTTGTCTTTGAAGGCAAACAATTTGCGATCCCAGTACTCATGCGCCAGTTTAACCAGCAGTATGAGGAATGGGTGAGTTTACCAGTGGACCAGGCGTCTATGGCTCCCATCCCGAGAACTCAATTTTCCCCGCAAGGGACTGAGCCCCATTTGCTTTGCATGTGGGACGGAGCTACTAAGGGTGGGTCACATTCGGCTGGTGGGATGGTTCTTTTAGACCATGAACGGACGCTCCTTATGGCTCGAGGGGTTCAGTTTTCTCATTTGGATGACCCTGGCATGGTGGAATTACTTGTCCTTAGGGATGCTATTATTTGGTGTGTGGAGCAGGGTTTGTCGGAGGTTCGGTTTGAGGGTGATGCAAAGGTGATTATTGACAAAATTAATCAAACCGACACAAGGGATAGCCGGTTGGGTGCCGTTCTGGAAGAGATTGTTCATTATTTTCGTGCTCAACCGGGTTTTAGTGTGCGTTTTGTAGGTCGGGAGAACAATAGGGTAGCTCATTTGGTAGCTAGGAAAGCCCTCTCTTTGTATCCGACTATGAGTCGCTTTTTTGATTTCCAGACCTGGCTGGTTTCCAGGATGTAACTGTCTATGTTTTTGATCAATACATGATATCTTTTGACAAAAAAAAAGTTCTTGTAAGTTGTAACACCTTATTTTGGCCTAAAGTACATCTATATAATCAACTTTGTCTCGTGGTGTCAGAAATTGTCATCCTCGTCTCAACTATTCATAATATATACTGAATTGGCCGGACGCGTCGTTTGACAACTGACGAGCTCACAAGCCCCCTATCTAACCTCCTTCGAAATCGGCGGCGACGAATCCCTTGAGTCCCAATCCAAGTCGTCTGACTAATGTAGGAACTCCCCCCACTCGTATTCAATCCTGTCACCCTTCCTCTTCGTCTGCACCAACTGCAAGACCAGCGGTCGACGTGTGCAGATATCACTCCCGCGGGGCAGGATATCCCTCCCGACTAGAGCCTCGAGAACACTGGATTTGCAACTGCTCTGGATGGCGACCACCACCACCCGCGGCAAGTCAATCGTGGACTGGTTTCCAAGCTTAGCGAATATGTCGGCTTGTTGACGATGCGGATGACTGAGAATCCCAGCAGCGCCGCCAATTGCGACTAGTTTTGGAGGTTGCCAGATTCGGTGATGGATCATCGGGGAAGAAGGATTGGGAAAGGGATGGGGCTGTGTGGGCCGAGTGAGGAGAGATAAGGGGAATTTATTATTATTAATTTATTAAATTCTATTTCCACATGACAACCACGTTAGGATAGCATGCTGATTCACTTACGGTCAATAATGTTGACCGTCTAATTTGACGAAAATTCATGAGCCATGCCAATTGAGTATATATGGTGTATAGTTGAGATCATGATAACAATTTATAAAACCACTGATCAAAGTTGATTATATAGGTATAATTTGGGCTAGAATAAGGTATTAACCCTAAACTAAAAGTTGCCTATTTCTTATTCCTATTTTACTTCAATCCTGTTCCTCTTAAATTTATCTCCATATTTTAAATAATAAATACATTTCACATTAATCGTACTTATTAGAATTCTAATCTATTTTTAATTTTAATTTTTTTTATAATTCGTCGCCATTTTACAACATAAATTTTGTTGATAAAATTTTGTCAAATTTCGAGACTAATTTTTTGAGGCCAATGATAATCTCTTATCTTCTCCCTCTCCCCAAACCTATCCAACAAGGAAGGTCTAGGTGGCCTCCCCGACACAGGTGGAGGATGATACTGAGAAGATGGCTCCTGAGGGGTATGTTTCCAATTCTGATATGGAGACTGATGGCCACAATTTTTGAGTTGAAGAGCCGCTATGCCCCAACTGTACCGGTTGACTCGGCTGCACCAAGGTTGGGCCATGTGAGGCGTGTTGTTGAAGCCCATGAAGGTAAGGCTTCGAAGAAGATTGCCAAGGGGTCCGGACATGGATCGTCAAGTTCAAAAGAGCACAAATGGAGCCGGCTAGCTGATGACCTCCATATAAATGAGTATGGGTCTAATGAAGGCCATCTGGTGGTGAGATCAAAGAAGCGGCCTTTTCAAGAATGGGATGAGGTCCAGAGAGAGGATCCAGCGGCCAAATGCCAATTTGTTGAAGTGGAAGAAGAGACTGAAGAGGTGGAGGTAGCCAGCCTAGAATGATTCCATGTGGATAAATGAGGATGATGTCTTGGAATGTGAGAGGGATTGGGCCAACCCTCACATTCCGTTCTGATGTGGGTTTGATTCATTCTAATAAGCTGGATCTAGTTTTCCTTTCGGAAACAAGATTGATTCGTAGGGTCGTGTCTCGTAGGATGTGAGGCTTAGGTTTTGATATTTTGAGTTGTTTCTTTGTTGACGCGGTCGATGCATCTGGTGGTCTTGTTGTAGGTTGGTCCCTCGGAGTTGACGCTCTGGTGTTGAGTCATTCAAGTTGTTCATATCTCTATTCGTATTAATGAGACTAATGTTTCTTCTGTGGTTGTGTGTGTGTATATCAGTTGTCATGATGCTATTCGAGCGTCACAATTGCTTTATATTCAGAATCTCTGCAAAGAAATCCAATTACCATATTTGGTGATAGGTGATTTCAATGCCATCCTGTCGGGATCGGAAAAAGAGGGTGGACTGGTAATCCTTGGAACCCGGACCGGTCTGCTTCACTTATGAATTTTGTGAATGATCTGGGACTACATGATATGGGCTTCCAGGAGGATCAATTCACCTAGACTAATAAGCGAATGGGGACAACCTGTATTTGGGAACGACTTGATCGGGCCTTATGCTCCCAATCTTGGATAAACCAGTTCCCTGATTCTTTGGTGAAGCATCACATGGACTAAGGGTCGGATCATAGAGCACTTATATTATCGAATAAGCCTTTCACACGACAAAGCCAGCCTCTCTTCAAGTTCGATGCACGTTGGGCGGAGAATCCAGAAGTTAGGGCAATTGTTGTGTATGTGTGGAATGAGGGAGTCTAGGTATCCCCCATGTATAGGCTTTGGGCTCGTTTGACCTTCGTCATCTCTTATATGACTGGAGTAGGGGTGGTACTACTAATTCCCTACGGAACATAAAAACTCTCCAGACCGAGATTGAGCAGGTAAAACACCTTCATCCTATTGATGGGGATAGGGTTCGAGACCTGGAAACAGATTTGAGTCTCCAGTGGGAAGCCAAGGAGATTTATTGGCAACATAAGTCTCGAGTCCGGTGGTTAAAAAAGGGGATAATAATACTTTTTACTGCCACGCCGTCACAAGGGCAAGGAGGAAAAGGAATTTTGTGATCGGATTGAGGAATGAGGATGGTGATTGGATCACTGATGAGAAGGGGAAGGCGGATAATTTTTTCGATGTCTTCAAGTTGCTATTTACCTTCGAAAAAGAGATAGAATATATGGAAGCTCGGGTGGAGGGTCTTCTTATTGCTCATACGATAACTGAGGAGATGAATGAGGTTTTGACCGCTGAAGTTCTGGTGTCGGAAATTTGACAAACAGTCTTCTCGATTGGTTCCACAGAGGCTCCGGGTTCAGATGGTTTCACTGGGAAATTCTTCCGTACTTTCTGGGATGTCGTTGGCGAGTCAGTGGTGGAAGCTGTATGCTCTTTCTTTAGGATAGGGAAGATGTTATGAAGCT